CAACCCCACGCCCACCCCAGCAGCCCGCCTCGCCGCCAAGCACGCGAGCCCTCCCCGCCCCAGCGCCCCATCCCCTTCCTCTCCTCCGTTCTGCTACTCTTCTGCCCCCCCCCCCCCGCCCCCCCTCCCCCCCTCCCCCCTCCCCCCGCCCCCCCCCCCCCCAACCCACCACCCCACCCCCACCACCCCACCCCCCGCAGTTCCGCGCCAACATGTCTGAGTTCAAGGTGGGGGAGAACACGGAGCTACTGGTGGCGTTCCGCGACAACATCCTGGCCATCATCAACGCGATGGAGGGGATGGGGGGGGTCATGGCGCAGATGCCGCAGCTGCCCGTCAGGTGGGGGTGGAGGGAGGGGTGTTGGGGTGGAGGCAAGGGTGTGGGAGGACCGGGGCGAGGGGAGAGGCGAGGAGGGGGAGCCGGTGGAGGGAGGCAGAAGAGTAGCAGAACGGAGAAGAAGAAGGCAATCGGACGCAGCAGCCGCCAGCGCTCGCTTGCCTCGCCGCCAGCCGTGCTGCATGCGTGGGCGTAGCCTTGTGTGCATGTGCAGCGCATATTGAGCGCCGCCCCGCCCCGCCCCGCCCCGCCCCGCCCTGCAGGCTGAACGTGGACCTCGCCAACAACTTCCTGCCGGCCCGCCCCGCCAGCCTGCCGCGCCACAACCTGGCCATGCCGCCGCCGCAGCCCGCGCTGAACGCGCCCGGCATGGTGCCGCTGACAGAGGACTGCGCGGGGCCGGGGGCGGGGGCGGTGCCGCCGCCGCCGCCGCCACCCGCGCCCGGCGGCGTCCCCGGCGGCGGCGGCGTCCCCGGCGGCGGCCCGCTGGGCCCGCTGCCGGGCGGCGGCGGCATGCCCTTCATGGGCGGCAGCTTTGGCGGCGCGCCCACGCTCATACGGCAAGAGCAGCCGGTGATTGTGAAGAAGCAGGAGGGGTGAGGCGGCGGCGGCGGCGGCGCGGCAGCAGCTGCAGCAGCCCCTTGCGCGGTCTGCCCGCCCCGCGGCTGCGCCTGCGCCTGCACCCGCAGCTCCCTGACCCGCCCAGGCCTGCTGGCGCGCAGCCGCGGGCCGGCGTGCCGCATCCCGCCGCCGCATCCTCCCGGGTGGCGAGCCCAGCCTCGACAGCCCTCGCCGTTGCCCTTGGGGGACCACCCAACCCTCACTGCTCCCCGCTGAGATGCATGCTCTTCGCTGTACCCTGCGACGCCATGCATGCCGCCCAATGCCCACATCCATGTAAACTAGGTGACACAATCCCTGCCTGTATGCCAGCGGCGGCGGTGGCGGCCTGTGTGCTGCTGCCTCCTGCTGCCCTGCTGCGCAAAGCAAAGTCAGGGCTGTCCAGTGCTTGCGCCGCAGTGGCTGATGGGCGCGTTGAAATGATGAAATGGGGAGCAGCGTGTGAGAGCGCATGCTGGCGGCCTGGGGCTTGGCGGCGCCCTTCGTCGGCGCGGCGCCCGTAGCGCTGGTGCAAATCCCAAGTGGATGCTACGGCTCTACCGTGCCAGTCTACAGCAGAATCATCATATCTTGTGCAGGGCCAGGCAGCTATGGCGGCGAACCGCGCCACCATCCACGACCTGCCCCAGTCGCTGCTCGGCGACGTCCTCGCCAGGGCGCCGTTTGTTCAAAGGTAGGCGTGCTTCGTATGAAGCGTGCTGGATGTGGTACCTGATGCAGCCGCACACGCTCACCAGCCGCCGCCGGCGCCGCCTCCTGCGCCGGCGCCCCCAACCGCAGGCACGGCTCCCTGGCGCGCGTGTGCCGTGCCTGGCGCCAGCTGGTGCTGTCCCCGCAGCTGCTGCGGCGGGTTGAGGTGCACTTGCAGTTTCGGGATCCCTGCCTGTATGACTATGGGACAGACGGCTCGTGGGTGTTGGACCAGGAGCACGACCCGGCAGCGTCGCTGCTTTGCAGCCTCACCTTCTTCCCCTGGCTGGAGGCCCATGCGGCGCCGCACGTGGAGCAGCTGACCATCAGAACGCGGAGGCTGGTGTTTGACATTGACGATTATGAGGAGAGCTTGGAGGTGGTTGCGAGGCGCCTGCGCGACAGCCTGGGGCGCTGCGACGTGCTGACGCACCTGACGATCGCGCTGCGGCAGGGGCCGCTGCACTTCCACGCCTCCGACCTGGCGGCGGCGCCCCGCCTGCGCTCCCTCTCCCTCACCATCTCCGACCTGGAGCATCCAGACTCCTCCGGCCTGCTGGAGGTCGACGGCCTGCTGGCGCTGACGGCGCTCGAGAGCCTGACGCTGGTGGGGGCCGCGCTGGACCTCGGCGGCACCTCCCTTGCGCCGAAATGGCAGTCCTGGGCACGGCCGCGGGGCCCCAAGCCTCACGACGGGCTGCCCCCCAGCCTCACCAGCCTCGCCCTGGATGGCTACGCGGATTTTAAGAGCTCCGTGCGCCGCTTCCTGCCACAGCAGGTGGGTTAGAGCCGGGCGCATAGCTACGGGCCAGGCCCCGCCGTTGCTGTTGGCAGCTGTGGTCTCCTGCCGCTCACTGATGCCGCATTCTGCCTGTCGACCCCTGCACTTCTGCCACCCACCCGTGCATGGGTCGCCAATACCGCAGCTTCCCCTCCTCCCTGCCTGCAGCTCACCGCGCTCAGCAGCCTTCGCAGGCTGGCGCTGGGCAATGTGGCTGCAGACAGCCCCGCCGCCTACATCGTCCTGTCTCGCGTGTCCAGCCTGGAAGAGCTGACGCTCTTCCGCTGCTCCCACCTGCCCACCTGCCTGCCCCAGCTCTCCTCCCTGCATGCTCTGCGGCTGGACAGTACTCCCCGCGGCCTTGCATTCCCTGATGAGGCTGCTGGTGCGCTGGAGCAGCTGGCAGCAGGGCTGCAGGCGCTGGGTCCGCTGGCGCACCTGACGCACCTGTCGCTGGAAGGCATGCCGGAGCTGCCGCCCACGATCACGGGCCTCACGCAGCTGCGGGCGCTCTACTGGGGAGCCGAGCGGCCACGCGAGCCGCGGCTGCCGGCCGGCCCCTGGACGGCGGGGCTGCAGCAGCTGGCCCTGTCGTGCCATGTGGCGGCCAACAGCCTGGCGGTGCTGTCGGCAGCGACACGGTTGGAGTGCCTGGCTGTGTTTGGGTCTTCGAGTTATGAAAATAAAGATGCAGCTGCTGAGCTGCAGGTGGCGGCCTGGGCTGCCAAGCACCCCGGGCTGCGGAGGCTGGCTGTGTCCAATGGCAACAGCTGTGAGCGGCGGGAGCATCTTGATGCTGGGTTGGCGCAGCTGCGCCTGCCGCCCACTCTGAGCATTGAGCAAGGCAGCGCTTTGTTGGCTCAGCTCCAGAATGTGTGATGTCTTCTCAACTCCCCTTTGCCGGAAGTGGCATGCTTTGTTTCTTGGTGGTACCTTTTTTGGTGGTACCTTCTGATCAGATGTGTGGCCTGCCTGCCTGTCGCTGGCTTCCTTTGCCGATATGTCCTGCTGATGCCTGTACCGCCCTCCTCTCCTGTTGCACACTGTAAGGTAGGGGAGCGTTACAGCAGGGTGGCTGGGCTATGCAAGCGGGATGGATGCGACTGCAAGCAGGCACCAAAGGATGAAAGAAGGAGGGGACAGATAGCGACAGATTGGTTGAGTGAGGAGGGATCATCAATCAGCAGGATTCTGTTCATGCGGCAGGCATTCACTCCTAGGCAGCAGCAGAATGAACTGCAGGGACTGTGCTGCTGGGCAAGCTTGCAGGTTTGGGATCACGCTGCCGCTGTCAGCCTCAGGTGCAGGCGGCAAAGGCGTCGGCCGCGGCGGAAGCAAAGCCGCCCTGCGCCGCGATTGCGGTGGCCTGCGCCTGCGCCAGCGCCGAGCACAGGGGGGCCGTGTTGCTGCCAAAGGCCTGGGCCAGGGCGCTGGCATAGGCGGTGGAGAAGCCGCCGCCAATGGCCAGGGCGGTGGCCAGGGCGTCGGCGACAGCCACGCCGCCGTTGATGGCCGAGGCGGTGGCCTGCACAGCGGGACGGGGTGAGGCAGGCAGGTTGGTGCAGGGTGAGCAGGGTGGGGTGGCTGCTTGTAGCCATGGCACCACACAGCAGCACACACACATGCCAGCCACCCACCTGTGCCAGGGCGAAGGCGGCGCCGGTGTTGCCGCTGGCATAGGCGTAGGCGGCGGCCTGGGCCACAGCCACACCGTGGCCGGTGGCAAAGGCGTTGGCGGCGGCGTTGGCAATGGCGACGGTGTTTCCGCTGGCAAACGCGCTGGCGCTGGCCTGGGCGATGGCGGCTCCGCCACCCAGGCTGGCGGCGTGGGCCTGGCTGTCGGCGATGGCGGTGCTGTGGCCCTGTGCCTGAGCGTTGGAGTTGGCTGTGGCCAGGGAGCCGTGGCCCACCTGCAGAGCAGAAGGGGCCAGGGCGGGGCACGTGCTCAGCTACCCGGCTTGTGTAGCAAGGTATCCCTGCCTCCATGCCTCCTCATGCCCACCCTCCCGCCTCACCGCTGTGGCGTCGCTGTTGGCGATGGCGGTGCCGTGGCCGGTGGCAGCCGCATTGGAGTTGGCGTGAGCGGTGCCGCCCCCAACAGAGCTGGCCTTGGCGTTGGCGACCGCGGTGGCCAGCAGCTTGCGGCCTGGAGGGAGGGAGGGAGGTGGGGAGGCACGCATCAAACGTCGCTGCTGCCAGCCAAGGATCGCTGCCTGTCTGGCTTGCTGATTTCCAGCATGGATGAAATGCACCACAAACTCACTCTTCAGAGGCACATCAGGGTGCTCTGAGGCCACAAGGCCCGCAAAGAGCACCAGGCACGCGAGCAGCAGGCAGCGGCGCATGGTGGCGGGAGAGGGCTGGGTGGGAGGTGCCTGCCGAGGAGGTTGTGCCTCGCAGCTGGCTAGGGAGAGGTGGAGGACTGGAGGAGTGGAGAGGAGAGTAATGGGTGGCTGAGGAGGCTGCGGAGGGGTTATGAGGGCCCGGGAGCGGCAGCTGCTGCTGGCTTCTCCTTGCTGCCCCCGCCCCCTTCCCTGCATGGTACTGGCTGCCCCTCGGCCCTGGGCAGGCTCAGGCAGCTTCCAAGAGCAGGCAGAGGCCGGTACCCAGCTGCTGACTCTGTGCCGCTGCCTTGCGGTTCTTCTCGGTGCGGATGGCGGGCCGGGCGGGTGGGGCTCCATGGCGCAGGTCGGGGCTGGGGCGGCGGACCACCAGCGCTGGCCGCCTCGACCCCCTTTCTGTTTTTTTGTTCAGTTGACATCATGCACCTACACGTACGTAGACACACCAAATCCTCGGCATGATGGGACGTAGGCAGCTGGCTGAATCCCGCCGCCAATCCGCCCGAGTGGTGCTGTACAGCTCGCTCCAGATCCCCCTGCAGCTCTTCCTTTCACCTCTTGCGCATCCCACAGGCTGCTGCTGCCGAAAGCAGCGCCACAGCAGGCCTCCTTTCGCTTTCTCGCACTTGGCCAACACGGCGGACGCCACAACCCAGCACCTCCTGGTGCTCCTGCTGGCCGCCGCTGCACAGCAGGCACAGGCGGGGCAGCAGCAAGGGGCGCAGAGCCAACAAGGTCAGGTGGCTGGCGGTAGGGCAGGCGCCGCCGCCGCCGCCGGCTCGGCCGCTGGCGGTGGGGTTGATGCTGCTCCCCAGCCATTCCAAGCGCCCGTGCCACAGCGGAAGCGGGCGCGGGTGCAGGAGGCTGCGGCCGGAGCGGCAGCAGTGCCTGCCGCCACACCCCAGCTAGCAGCACTGCAGCACGCTCTGCTGGGGCCGCAAGGTGCCGCTCCCGTTGCGCAGCAAGCCCCGCCCCAGCGGCCGCTAGCCGCCGCCGCCGGGATCTACGGCACTCCTGTGGAGACGCTGCATCAGCTAACACAGGTGAGGCGCCGCCAGCTGCCCCGAAACCCCCTGCTTGTCACAAGCCCCTTTGGCGTGTACGTGTATTGATCGCTGTTTCAGTGCCACCTCACGTTTGATGTCTGCTGCACGCAGGTGGTGCTGTCTGGGGAGGCGGCGCAGCCAGGCTTCCGCTATGCCCTGGTGTCTCTTGAGCTGCACAGGCACGCGCGCTTGTGTGTCGAGGGGAGGAGGGCAGGCTGTGCCCACAGCTCGTGGCATCCCGTCCTGGGCTGCTGCTGGCACAAACCTGAGTAGCGCGCCCGCATGCTTACTTCTGCCGCGGCTCCCGCCACCCGTGCCTGCCAGCAGTCGGAGCGCGAGCCAGCCCTGGACGCTAAGCCCGTCCCTTGCCACCTCCATGTTAGCGATAGCGTGCTGCGCCAGCCGACCCACTGAGTGCCGCACCTCGCGCCACAGCTTCCGCTGGCTGTCGCCGCACGGGCCCAGGCCTGTGCCCTGCCTTGTCCTTTGCCCCCGCATGCAGGGCTGCCCTGTTTGTCGTGAATGAAGCTCGCCAGGACCTGGAGCGCACGGTCCAGGCGGCAGCGGCGGAGGCGGGCGCTGCCGGTCTCGCGCCCCTCCTGCAGCAGGCCACCCAGCTGATGCAGGTGGCAGCAGCAGCGGGTGCGCCCTCGGCAGCTGGCGCCACCCAGCCTCCACAGCAGCAGCAGCAGCAGCAGGATGGCATGCAGCCGCCTCTGCCCCAGCTGCCGCCGCTGCCGCCGGCGGAGCACCAGCGGCGGCAGCAGCGGGCGGCGGTGCTGGAGAGAATGCTGACGCTGGCAGCGGACGACCGCTACCGGCAGCGAATGCTGGAAGTCGCGCAGGCGGCGGCAGCAGGGCAGGCCGCGCCTGGCGGCGCGGCTGACGCTGCAGCAGCGGCGACGGAGGCCGCGCTGTTGGGCAATGGGACGGGTGTGGAGTCGGCTCCGCCAGCAGAGGCAGCACCGCCATCCGGCACGGCAGCGCCTGCCTCGGCAGCTGCAGGTGGCGGGCCGCAGCCAAGGCCCCAACGGACGGCTGCTCCTCACCTGACCCCAGCCTTTCGGCAGCGGCAGCAGCCAGCACCTCCCGCACTCTTCCCTGCGCCGCAGCAGTCTGGCCCGCCGTCGGAGGTGCCTCTGGTGGTGGCGACGGCCACGGCAGCCGGGCCGCTGCTGCCGCAGCAGCCGCCAGCGCAGGTGGGGCCGCAGGAGGCGGAGCTGTCCGCCTCTGACATGCTCCTGGCCTGCATGCTTGGCTTGCAGCAGCCGCAGCAGCCGCAGCAGCCGTCGCCATGGCAGCTGGTGCCCCAGCAGCAGCAGGAGCAAAGCACTCCCCAGCAGGTTCAGCACCTGCCCAGGCCTCCAGCAGATGCAGGGCCTGGCCAGCCGGCAGCAGCAGCCCCAGAGAGTGTGCAGCAGGGCCAGCATGAGGCTGGTCATGCGAGCGAGCGGCGCCGGGATCAAGCGCCGGCTGAGCAGCAGCAGCAGCAGCAAGCTTCCCCAGAGCGCCTGCCTGAGTTTGCCCTCCCGTCGCCAGAGGAGCAGCCCAGGGAGGCGCTTGCTGATGCCGGAGCCGAGGGCAGCCCTGAGTAGTTCATTACTTCATTAGTTGCACTGGATGCCCACCACGGCAGTAGCGTCCCAAGTTACCTTGCTCACGACTTGTGTCTCAGAAGACGCGAACGACAGTGGCACAGAGTGAGCAGCTGGGGACCGGCCTCTGCCTGCTCTTGGAAGCTGCCTGAGCCTGCCCAGGGCCGAGGGGCAGCCAGTACCATGCAGGGAAGGTGGCACGGGCAGCAAGGGGAAGCCAGCGGCAGCTGCCGCTCCCGGGCCCTCATAACCCCTCCGCAGCCTCCTCAGCCACCCATTCCTCTCCTCTCCACGCCTCCACTCCTCCACCTCTCCCCTAGCCAGCTACGAGGCACAACCTCGGCAGGCACCTCCCACCCACCCCAGCCGTCTCCCGCAACGATGCGCCGCTGCCTGCTGCTCGCCTGCCTGGTGCTCTTTGCGGGCCTGGTGGCCTCGGAGCACCCTGATGTGCCCCTGAGTGAGTTGTTGCCTGAGGCGCTGATCAGCGCCGTTCATGCTGGAAATCAGCAAGCCAGACAGGCAGCCATCTTGGCTGGCACCAGCTGACTGCCCCACCTCCCTCCAGGCCGCAAGCTGCTGGCCACCGCGGTCGCCAACGCCAAGGCCAGCTCTGTTGCGGGCGGCACCGCTCACGCCAACTCCAATGCGGCTGCCACCGGCCACGGCACCGCCATCGCCAACAGCGACGCCACAGCGGTGAGGCGGGAGGGTGGGCATGAGGAGGCATGGAGGCAGGGATGCTTGCTACACAAGCCGGGTAGCTGAGCACGTGCCCCGCCCTGGCCCCTTGCTCCGCAGGTGGGCCACGGCTCCCTGGCCACAGCCAACTCCAACGCTCAGGCCCAGGGCCACGGCACCGCCATTGCCGACAGCCAGGCCCACGCCGCCAGCCTGGGTGGCGGCGCCGCCATCTCCCAGGCCAGCGCCAGCGCGTTTGCCAGCGGAAACGCAGTCGCCATCGCCAACGCCGCCGCCAACGCCTTTGCCACCGGCCACGGTGTGGCTGTGGCCCAGGCCGCCGCCGACGCCTATGCCAGCGGCAACACCGGCGCCGCCTTCGCCCTGGCACAGGTGGGTGGCTGGCATGTTTGTGTGCCGCTGTGTGGTGCCATGGCTACAAGCAGCCACCCCACCCTGCTCACCCTGCCCCACCCCGCCCCTCTGTGCAGGCCACTGCAACTGCCATCAACGGCAGCCTGGCTGTCGCCGACGCCCTGGCCACCGCTCTGGCCACTGGCGGCGGCTTCTCCACCGCCTATGCCAGCGCCCTGGCCCAGGCCTTTGGCAGCAACACGGCCCCCCTGTGCTCGGCGCTGGCGCAGGCGCAGGCCACCGCAATCGCGGCGCAGGGCGGCTTTGCTTCCGCCGCGGCCGACGCCTTTGCCGCCTGCACCTGAGGCTGACAGCGGCAGCGTGATCCCAAACCTGCAAGCTTGCCCAGCAGCACAGTCCCTGCAGTTCATTCTGCTGCTGCCTAGGAGTGAATGCCTGCCGCATGAACAGAATCCTGCTGATTGATGATCCCTCCTCACTCAACCAATCTGTCGCTATCTGTCCCCTCCTTCTTTCATCCTTTGGTGCCTGCTTGCAGTCGCATCCATCCCGCTTGCATAGCCCAGCCACCCTGCTGTAACGCTCCCCTACCTTACAGTGTGCAACAGGAGAGGAGGGCGGTACAGGCATCAGCAGGACATATCGGCAAAGGAAGCCAGCGACAGGCAGGCAGGCCACACATCTGATCAGAAGGTACCACCAAAAAAGGTACCACCAAAAAACAAAGCATGCCACTTCCGGCAAAGGGGAGTTGAGAAGACATCACACATTCTGGAGCTGAGCCAACAAAGCGCTGCCTTGCTCAATGCTCAGAGTGGGCGGCAGGCGCAGCTGTGCCAACCCAGCGTCAAGTTCCTCTCGCAGCTCACAGCTGTTGCCATTCGACACAGCCAGCCTCCGCAGCCCGGGGTGCTTGGCAGCCCAGGCCGCCACCTGCAGCTCAGCAGCTGCGTCTTCCATTTCATAAGACCCAAACGCAGCCAGGCACTCCAACCGTGTCGCTGCCGACAGCACCGCCAGGCTGTTGGCCGCCACATGGGACGACAGGGCCAGCTGCTGCAGCCCCGCCGTCCAGGGGCCGGCCGGCAGCCGCGGCTCGCGTGGCCGCTCGGCTCCCCAGTAGAGCGCCCGCAGCTGGGTGAGGCCCGTGATCGTGGGCGGCAGCGCCGGCATGCCTTCCGGTGCCAGGTGCGTCGGGTGCGCTAGCGGAGCCAGCGCCTGCAGCCCCGCTGCCAGCTGCTCCAGCGCCTGCATCCCCGGTGCCAGCAGCTCCAGCACAGCAACCTCATCAGGGACGGCAAGGACGAGGGGAGTACTGTCCAGCCGCAGAGCACGCAGGGTGGAGAGCTGGGGCAGGCAGGTGGGCAGGTGGGAGCAGCGGAAGAGCGTCAGCTCTTCCAGGCTGGACACGCGAGACAGGACGCTCTATGCAGACGGGCTGCCAGCAGCCACATTGCCCAGCACCAGCCTGCGAAGGCTGCTGAGCGCGGTGAGCTGCAGGCAGGGAGGGGGGGAAGCTGCGCTGTTGGCGACGCATGCACAGGTGGGTGGCAGAAGTGCAGGGGTCGACAGGCAGAATGCGGGCACAGGCGACCTGCCAGGGAACCACAGCTGTCAGGTGCAGCAGAGGCATGAGAGCTGCTGCTGCTGCCAAGGCAGCCGTAGCAGCGGGGCCCACTGGAAACAGCGGACTCCCTGCCAGCCTGCCCTACAGGGGTCCCCGGCCCCCTGCTCACCTGTTGCGGCAGGAAGCAGGGCACAGAGCTCATGAAATCCGCATAGCCATCCAGGGCGAGGCTGGTCATGCTAGGGGGCAGCCCATCGTGTGGCTGGGGCCCACGCGGCGCGGCCCAGGGCCCCCACGCAGCCGGGAGGGAGCTGCCGATCTCGAGCGTGATGGACGCCAGGTGCAACCGCTCCAGTGCCGTGAGCGCCAGGCCCTCCACCTCCAGCGCGCTGGTGGAGCCCGCCTCCGGATCTTCGTTGGGGTCGAAGACCGTCAGGGAGAGGGAGAGCAGACGGGGCGCCGCCGCCAGGTAGGCGGCGTGGAAGTGCAGCGGCCCCTGCTCCAGGGCGACCGTCAGGTGCGTCAGCGCGGTGCAGCCGCTCAGGCTGTCGCGCAGGTTCCGCTCCAGGTGCCGCCATAGCCGCCATCCAGGTGCCACCATCCACGTGCCGAGGTCGTGCCGCACCATCCACGTGCCGAGGTCGTGCCGCACCTAGCGGCCATCCATCCTAGCTCTCATTCTTGTATCGGTGCCGCCATAGCCGCCAAAGAATCCATCACTTCGCAAAGGTCTCTGGGGATGACCCAAACAAGCGTGGGAACGCGATAGGCTGTGACGTGCTTTGCATGCCGCGCTAGGCACACCAGGATGGTTGTGCATTCTGCTGCTCTCATGCCACTCTTGATCCGCCTCAGGCTTTGGAACACTGGATGTGGGATTCCTGGGAGGGCCGCTTGGCCGCGTTGCTGTGGACAGGCGCCCAGCGATCGACATGCTGTTGCCGCTCGGTCTGTGCACACTGCCTGTATGCTGCTCCTGGTGCTGCACGGAGGGGGTGTGTAGCATTAACGGCGGTCGGTCTTGGTGGGCGTGGCAGCTGCGCGGCGGCAAGCCGGGGGTGGGAGGCGGCCTTGCGCTTGCTCCTGTCCCGCCCCGGCAAGCCCGGCAGCCTGCACTCGGAGCCGCCTCGCACCTGCCGCACCGAGCTGGCGCACTACCAGGAGGCACAGCAGCGCTGCGGAGGCAGTGAGTGGGTGGCGCATGGCACAGTTGTGCGGGAGGGGCTTGGGTTGTAGGCGACAGGCTCTCATTCTTGTATCGTGCGCAGTTCTTCAACCCACCACTGGAATCCTACTTGGCAGGATAGAGAGTGATCCAACAACCGTGGGGGTCTGCACACACAGCGCACGCGCCGGCGACGTTTCATTCCCCGCCGCCGCCCCGCTGTAGACCGTCTGCTGAGCATGGTCTCTGGTGGATTTCTCGCTTGCGCGCCCTACCAGTGCTGTTCTGTGTGCTACCCTGTGAGCCTTCGCTTCGCAGGCTTCGCGGCAGCCTTCCCGGGTCTTCCCGCGTTTTCCCGGCAGCTTTCCCGGGAATTCCAACCCCAAGGCAGCCTCCCGGGCTTCGCGGCAGCAGGATTCTTCGCAGGCTTAGCAGGCTTCGCAGCAGGCTTCGCAGCCTTCCCTTGCAGCCTTCGCAGCATCGCGCCCCGGCAACCTCCCCCATTAGCCTACGGCTCTTGGTAACCTGCAGGGGAGGCTAGAGCCTTACTGCGTAGCGCCTGGCATAACGGCGGCCACGGACGGCCGCCGCCACCCCGCTCTGCCGCCCACCAGCCTTGCGCCATGGCCAGCTGCAAGACCCCCGAGCAGCTCAAGGCTGAGGGCAACGAGCACTTCAGCAGCGGTGACAACGAGGCAGCGCTGGCATGCTACCTCGAGGCTCTCATCTTGCTGGACGCCGCCGCCGCCTCCCCCGCCGCCGCCACGCTGCGCCCCGTCCTCCTCTCCAACGCCAGCGCCGCCGCCGCGCGGCTGGGGCGCGCGGCAGAGGCCCGCCGCCACGCCGACCGCTGCGTGGCGGCCCGCCCGGGCTGGCCCAAGGGCTACACCCGCCAGGCGGCCGCCGCGCTGCTGCAGCACCGGCCGGGCGACGCCGAGCGCGCGCTCCGTGCCGGGCTGGCCGCCTGCCAGGACACCGCAGCACTGCGCCACGAGCTTGACCGCCTGCTGAGGGTGCGCGCTGTGCGCGCTGTGCAGTGCAGCCGCCACGGCCGCCCCTGCCGCTCCTGCGATGCCTCCGCCAACGCAGCCGGCACGCGGCACAGCCCTGCACCCTGGGCAGCGGCTGCCCGCCCACCCTCATGCAACCAGGCACAACCAACCGTGCCTGCCTGCCTGCTGCCTGCCTGCCTGTGCGCCTGTGTGGCCCTGCAGGAGGACGACGGCGACCAGTCAGGCCTTCCAGGCATCCTGCCGGGCACCCCGGGCCAGCGCATGCGCGACTTGCAGGCCGACTTTGGCGCACAGCTGCAGCCGGAGGCCGCCATCGCCGCGCTGCCCAACGACGCCCTGCGCGCAGCCTTCATGGGGGATGCAGACCGGTTCAAGTGAGAGAGGGGGGCCGGGATCAGAATTGCTGCCTGCTGGCTCTTGGATCTCGGTGTGCCCAGCGGCGCATCCCCATGTGTGTGTGTGTGTGTGTGTGTGTGTTGTGTGTGTGGGTCCGGGCCTGTTGGCCGCCACAGCCGCTCCTCTGCCTCTCCCCCGTGCTGCCGCCGCAGGGCAGCCTTTAGGCCCGAGCAGCACATCAGCCTGCGGGCCTGGCAGCTGCGCCTGCCTCTGCCGGCTGTCGCCGTGGCAGGTGAGGCGGCTGCGAGCGCGGGCGGTAGGGCAGCTGCGCAGATGGGCGGGGGTTGCCGCCTCTGCTGCTCCAGACGCAGCGGTTTGCCGGCAGGCAAGCCCCAAACACCCCCACCTTTGCACCCGACGGCCCAACCACACCTCGCAGCTGTGGTGCAGGCGCGCAGCGCGTGACGCGGGCCGACGGCGGCCCCGGCGGCCACGCCGCCGTGCTGCGGGCGGCGTGCGAGGCCGGGTGCCGCGTGGACGCGCGCGACGTCGCCGGCTACACCGCGCTGCACCACGCCACCGCGCACTCGGCGCGGCTGGACCTGGCGCAGGTGCTGCTGGAGCATGGGGCCGACCCCAACGCCAAGGACAGGTGCGCTGGAGGCGGCACATGTGTGTGTGCATATGTGTGTGTGCATGTGTGTCTGCGTGTGTCTGTCTGCCTGTGTGTGTTTGTGTGTGTGTGTGTGTGCCGGGCTGGGGGTGGCCCCGCTTGCTGCTGCAAGCCGGCCGGCAGCTCCTCGGGCGTGCTTCTTGGGTCTGCATGCAGAGCATCGTGCAACGGGGCTGGCCGCTCCTTGCGCGGCTGGCTGATGGTATGGCGGCCGCAGCTCCCCGCCCTTCAACCTGTCCTCCCCTGCCCGCACTCTCTGCAGGTTTGGCAGCACACCGCTGCACCACGCCATCATGTCTCAGGACCAGGCAGCCGTGCGGCTGCTGCTAGCGTGAGCGGGCCGCGTTTGTTGGCGCACATGGACAGCTGCTGGCGGCAGCAGCAGCCGGGACTGCAGCCTGCATGGGCCCACACTGCATCTTGCTGGGCAGCCAGGCCGGTCAGGTGGCACTGCTGCGACAAGGGCGGTACCGGCAGTCCAACGCGTCCCTGCTTGCCTGGCTGCCTGCCTGCTTGCTCTGCAGCGCTGGCGCCGACCCGCGGGCACGGGACCTGAGCGGGTGCAGCATAGAGGAGGTGGCGCAGCACTGCCCGCCGATGGTGGCTCTGGTGGACCGCGCGCTGGGGCGGTACCAGCAGAACGCGCACCTGCAGCCAGGAGCGCCCTGCTTCTCCTGCGGCAAGGCGGGGGCCAGCAAGCGCTGCGACGCGTGCCGCGTGGCTCTCTACTGCTCGCGCACCTGCCAGCGGCAGCACTGGAAGGCTCACAAGAAGGAGTGCTCCGCGGCCTCGGCCTCGAGCAGCAGCAGCGGCGGCGGCGATAGCGCTGCCACGGCTGGCCACCTGCGCCTGCGCCCTTCCACCGACGCCCCTTACACTGCCGCGATACCCAATGCCGACTTCACCAGCGCTGTTGCCGCATCCATGGGGGTGCCGGTCAGCGCAGCGCCGTTCAACCCTGAAGGCTACATGCGAGGGCCAGAGGAGAATCGGGCGGCGGCAACGCGGCCCACCGACAAAACCTTCATCGTCAAAGTCCAGGTCAGTCCTGGTATTGGGGGAAGAGGACGCAATCACAGATGGCGGTTGCTGGCCATGCAGTGAGTGCTCGTCTCCTCTGCTGGTCATGCGGTAGTGGCAGCCCCTCGCAGTGAAACAGCCACCCCCTGTGATGCCTCCTTGCTCCTCGGCCCCTGCTCGCATGTGCAGGTGCCGCTTGGCCGCGTGCCCGGCACGCCCCCCCTCATGCTCATTTACAACAAGAGCCGCAGCTATCAGATGCACGTGGACGAGACCGGCGGCGCCGACGCGCGCCGCCTGGCGGCGCTCGTCCGAGGCAAGGGCATCCGGGGGCAGAAGGCCTACTTTCCAGCCTTCCAGGACGCAGCCTCCAAGGAGCTGGTGGTCATCAGCGGCGCCATGCTGCCCCAGCAGACGTGGTGAGCGGGCCAGCGACACGATCCTTGCCTAGGAGGCGAGCGAGAGGAGGGCGAGCCGCGGGAGCGCATGGCGGCAGGGCGCCCGCTCGCCTCCCTCCCCTTCTCCATGCCCCCTCTGTCCTTGTTTGGCGCTCTGCAACCGGTTCTATTTATTTCATTTTAAATTCAATTCAATAATTACAGCTCAGGGACAAACCAGGTCAGCCTCTCATCAGGCTCAAGGCTCCAGCATGCCGCCCACTGGAGTCGCCCGCAGCTCTAGCGAAGAGCCGGCGGCCTTGTCGGCGGCCGCCCCTCCCTGCTGCTGCTGCTGCTGTGCCTGGCCACGGCGCCGCACGCAGCGCTCCCTCAGGCAGGCCACGCCAACATACGCGAAGAACCCCGCGGCCAGCAAGAGGGGCAGCAGCAGATAGTACAGCACTGCACACAGGGGAAGGGGAGGGGCCGAGGGCTGAGGGGCGAGGGGAGAGTGCTGACCGCCCCCAGGCAGCTGCGGCAGGGCAGCAGGTCGCCAGGCGCATGCCCACTCACTGCTGCTGCTCTTGCTCCAGTCCAAAACGGAGTAGGCCCAGATGCCGCTGGCGCCTGCGACACGAGCAGGGTGGCGGCCGGGGCGGTGAGGTAAGGGCTGGGGCGTGCGTGCATGATCACTGAGGCAGGGGAGCGGGAGCCATGCACCCATGCACGGGAGGCCGCCATCTGCGGCACAGCCCAGGCGAGGCAGGCAGCGCGGATGGCGCAGCAGCTGCCCGTACCGTAGTAAATCCACATGAAGGCCAGGTAGGTGCTGCCGTACAGCAGCAGCGCCAGGAAGTGGTAGCTGACAAAGGGCATGCCAGACAGCGCCACGTCTGCATGGGGCATGGGTGGCATGGGTGGCATGGGTGCTTGTGCCAGCGTGAGGGGGTGGATGGTGCCGGGCAGGGCCCCGGGCAGCAGGCAGGGACGCGGCTCCAGCTGGTGCTGGCTCGTGACAGGCGCAGCATGCAAAACAAGTAGCATAATCGGAAACAATCGGAGCATCAGCACCAGCGCCAGCGCCAGCTGCGCGGCAGCGGCAATGGTCAAGATGTTGTGGCCACGCCCAGCTCACCCGCCAGAGTGAACAGGTTGTTGAGGCCGTGGACCATCAGGGTGCTGCCCAGGGGCCCCTCGTCGTCGGCATGCAGCAGCGCCCAGTAGAAGGCGGTGAGGAAGAGCTCGGCGGGGAAGGCGACCTCCGCAGCCAACAGGTGAGCCTTGGCCAGCAGGCCCCAGCTGGCTGCGGCAGCGCCGGCGCCGCCGGCCGGCACAGCGCCGCCCGCGGAGCAGGTCGTGGGGACGCCGGCGGCGACCAGGGGCGCGGCGGCCGGGGCCAACCCCTGCAGGTGCCGCAGCTCCAGCGCCAGCTCTGCCGAGGCCGCCGGCTGGGGCGGCGCCTCTGGGTCGGCTGGGTCCATGGCCGACAGCAGCTGCTGCTGGCCCTCTGGGGCTTCAGCCGCGGTGGCGGGGGCGCTGGCGGTTGCGGCCGCCGAGCCCGCCAGCTGGCGCTGCCGGCGCCGCCGGCGCCGCATGTCTGCCGCGGTGTGGGCCGAGCCCAGCAGCATGCTGAGGGCAAAGGCGCAGAAGCTCCAGTTGGTGAAGTAGACCAGCCAGGTGGGGCCGGGCAGCGTGTAGGCCAGCTCCAGTACAATAAACAGTGCGGCAAAGAACAGCAGCGCAGACAGCCGCAGCGCCAGCAGCACCCACTGCAGGTTACGGGGGATTGGGGGCGCAGGAATTGGGATGCTTAGTGGGGGGACTCAAGAGCTGCATGCTCGCACAGACAACCCTGTTTGCTGCGGTCCACGCCCAACCGGGCCCGCTTCCAGCAAGAGGGCACACCTGCGGCACCACCCATGACGTGACACTGGCGGAAGAGTCAATCAGCTCCCAGGCCCAGAAGGAGGTGGGACGCTGCTGGCACGACACGCCCGCGGCTCTGCACAGGACAGAGCAGCAGAGGGCAGCGGTTCAAGGTACTGCAGCAGCAGCAGCAGCAGCAGCAGGTAGCGGCGGGGCGGTTACTGGGGCGCCCGTCCAGGCGGTGCCTCTGCCCTTGCCTTGCAGCGCGGCCCACACCTGTTTGACACTGCCAGCAGCCCGGGCCGCGCCCCGCGCAGTCGCCGCCAGGCCCAGCTGTTCTCGTTTGACGCATAGGCTATCAGGTTGATCAGCACAACGCATGGAATGGCGACGTAGGGCACCCAGACCCCCATGGTGCGCGGGTAGGCAACGAACAAGCGGGATAAGCGGTTTTGCAGTGCTCAGACGCCAGGAACGAGAGCTCAGGCGCTTGTGGAGTGGTAAAACGCTATGGTTGGAGATTGACAAGAGCACAAACATAAGAGAAGCGTTGAAGGAGAGTTGATAGGAGCGCCCCGCCGACAGCTGGCGGGCGCCGTTTGCCGTGGAAGCTGCCTCTACAGCACCCTCTGGGCTGGCGTTGTCGACCTCTCAGCAATTCATACACTCAGAAAGAGCCACACAAGTTCGCACATGGATCAAAACTCAGGGTTGGAACACAAACTGCAAAGAGTTGGGCGGGTGCGCAGTCGTCCCTGCCGTCCCGCGCCGCGTCGGGCACCCCGGCTTCAGCCGCTGCCGCCCTTGCGAGTCTGCCTCCGGATGTCGTCGCTTTCCAGCAGCTTGCGGGCACCGTTGGCCCACTCCTTCTTCGCATCAGCCACCACTGCAGCAGCAGCAGCGGCAGCAGCAATGGCAGAAGCGGCGCCAGGCGTCAGGCCGGGCACGCACGCGTGGCGGGCTGCCGCCGCACACCAACCAGACCGCGTGGCCTGGCTGTTTGCGGCCTTGCTCCGTGCGCCATCCCCACATGCATGCGCACTCCGGCGCTCGCCCAGGCCTGCGCCCAGCCCAGCCACGCCCCCCCCACAAGCCGGGCCCCACACCAGCCAGCGGCCGCTGCACCCACCCGACTCGCCACCCATGTAGACCTCAAACAGGCCGCGGCACAGCCCTGCGCTGGCGATGCTGGCATCCGCCACGATGGTGGACCAGTCCACGCGGCCGGGCCGCACCGCCACATCCAGCGTGGCATCTGCAACACACACACAGTGCCGGGGCGGGACGCAGGAGGGGCGCGTCAGCGTTGGCCAGCAGGCTGGTCAATGGCAGCCGCGGTGCTGCATCGCGGCGCCACCTGCAAACTGGACACACACGCACGCGCCAACGCCAACGCCCATGTGTGCGCAGGCAGGCCTTGCGGTACGGCGGTGCAGCGGTACACCCACCCGTGCGGTACATCAGCACCACGTTGGTCCCCTTGGCCAGCTTCTTGTCCACAAACACCTTCTTGAAGGCCTCCAGCGAAGCCGTGTCTGCAGGGACCAGCGACGCAGCAGCGGGGCAGCAGGGTGTGGGGCGATGGGTGCACGTGCGCACCATGTCCGCCCGCTCCCACGTCGGCCGCCCTCAACCAGGCTGCCCCAGCCAGGCCAGGCGCCAAGCTGCACACCCTGCCCGGCACGTGCAGCCCGCAGCCCGCAGCCCACTGCTGCCGCAGGCGCTAGCGCACCTCCCATGAGGCGCATGCGCGGCGCCAGCGCCTCCTCCAGCGCCTGCACAAACTGCGCGCCCTCCACGTCCCGCGCCAGCTCCAGCTGCAGCGCCTTGACGCACCCGCCGTCCACCAGCGCCTGGCAGAAGTCGTCGTCGCCGTCAAAGAAGCCGCCCCTTGGGGTGTGGGCGGTGGGGAGGCGGGGGGAGGCGTGGGGATGGGCATGTGGATGCAGGTGGAGGGAGTTTGGAAGGGATGGTTTTGGAGGGAGGGAGGGAGTGGACGGAGGCAAGGGAGGCGAATCGGGACAACCGAAGCATTGAAGGGAAGCGGAGGCGGGTGCTGCTCTCCAGTGCGGGCCACGCCACCCCATGCAACCGCTCCGCTCGCGCAGCCCCTGCTCCCTGCCGCCCCAGCCCTCGCCGCCCTCGCCGCCCCCCACGGCACCGCACCTGTTGCGCACGCCCAGCTCCCGAGCCATCTTCTCGGCCTCAACATACAGCGCCACAGCGTACACCTTGACGCCGATGAACGCAACCTTCTTGCTCCTGCGGGCGCCACAGCCAGGCGCGGCCGGGGTGGGTTCAGCCCATACAGCCCGCTGGGACTCTCACAAGCCAGCCCCGCGGCTCAAGACAGTCAGCTGTCGGGGCAGCCGTCTGGATGGCAGCCAGGAGTGGGCCTCACCGGCAGCCGGCGCCCACGCAGCGCATCTCCTCGCCCAGCCACAGCTTCTGCACGAGCGGGAACTCGATGCCGGTGGCGGCCTCCTTGTAGGTCAGCATTGCCTGGGCGGCCAGGCCGCCGCTGGCGCTGCGCCGCACGGCCCTCAGCCGCCGCCGTTGAGCAGCCAGCTGCGTGGGGGTGCCCAGGAAGGCGGCCGCGACGCGCGGCACGCCCGCTGGCGCCTGCGGGTGGCGGCGGCGAGGCGGTGGGCGGGTTGGGCGGTGCCGCGGCGCGGGATCAGGTGCAGGCCAGTCGACCTTGCTGCATGTGCACGCTGGCTGGTCGTCAGGCCCCAGGGCTGCTCACCTTGGCGCAGGGTCTGGGGCTGGAGTTGGCCGCGGGGCCGCAACGCCTGCAGGGCAGCCCGATGTTGCATCGGATCAACGGAGAGGTGCCGGAGGTGCTTGGCAGGCGCAATGCAGTAGGGTCACACCTTAGCTGCATTGTGGACGCCATGGCCACTGCCATGCTCTTGGAACCCTGTGAAGCGGCTACAGAATGCCGACAGTGTTTCCAATTGTGGCAGCATAGGTCCCAGGCGACCATAGCATAGTGACAGAAACAGGCCGATCGCAGCACGCAGCAGGCGTTCTGATTTTTGCCTGTTTTGGTCCCGCGGCATTGCCGGAGACTCGCACTTGGACCAGGGCATTGGTCACAGCGCTCAGCGGCCCCAAGCGCCTACCAACCAGAAAATGGACTCCAGGTGGGGCGGTTCCGGCTCTGGAGGGAACCAACACCACTCCATAGGACTAAGCAGTCACAAGAACGAGTTCAGGTGGGCCGCGAGAGTCAACACATGGCCCCACATTCGGACCATTCCGGAGTCGGGACCGCTCGTGAGCGGGCTGGGCACAGCGCAGCAAGGCCCAGAAGCCGTACTCAAGAGCGCCGAGGCCTCGTCGGACCGTCCAGCCAGCCAGCCAGGCAACCACCCCCGCCGTCGCTGCCGCCAACCAACTGCGCTGCAGGCGGGGCGTCTGCCTTGGCAACTATGCTGAGGAGCTGCTGGCTGCGGACTACCGCGGCCGCCCAGGCTTTGTGCTGGACCAAGGCGGCGCCTTTGCCGCGGAGACCACCTCGCGGGCGGCCTACGCGCCCGCGCCGGGCAAGAGCGGCGAGGAGCTGGCGGCGGCGGCGCGGCGGCAGGACATCTTCCTGAAGCACGTCAAGTATGGCAAGAGCGCGGTCATGCCCACAGACAAGACCGGCTTCTTCGCCTCCACCAGCCAGCTGTCGTATGGTTGGTGCATGCATGCCGCTCAGCTGCCGGCCGTGCCGCCGCTGCCGGTGCCGGTGTTGCCCGCAGCCTCCATGCGCTGCTGCCTCTCACGATTGGTCCTTCACCCTGCCCCCTGCCCTGTGGATGAGAGGGAGCAGGGGGAGCGGCGGCGGCGCCGGCGGCAGACCTCGGCGCAGCCGGCGGGCCGCAGGCAGGCGGCAGGGCCAAAGTGCAGGACTGCCTGTGGGGAGCCAGCAAGTTTGACAACCGCAAGGTGGGCTGGAGGCTGCGCCAGGGCCATGCCAGGGGGCATGCGTGCCTGCCTGGGGCTTGTGAGCCAGCTGTCAGCTGATCATGGGAGCATGCGGTAGGCCCCTCAGAGTGGGGCCAGCGGTACCTCCCTCCAAGCAAATGTGTGCGGCAGTGAGCCGTGCCCCTGCCGGCGTGCAGGTGCCGCTGAGCGTGCACGCCCACACTGCCAGCGAGCAGCGGCGGCGGCAGCTGGAGGCGGAGGCGGCGGCCAGCCCCTACCGCACTGTGGAGAAGGTGCGGGTGGGTGGGAATGTGTGGGTGGACTTGATCGTGGTGGGGATGGTTTGGGCCCCCCCCCCTGCTGCCTGCTGCCGCCCCTGCCGCATGCGCTGAAGGCACCCTGCCCCTGCTGCAGCAGCAGGTGCACGCACACGACATGCACACCACACGCTGCTCCACATGCCGGCCCCCTTGCTGCTCTTGCCCCTGGCTGCCCCCCGGCAGGAGATGATTGAGTCGGCGGCGCGGGATGGCGCAGCCCGCGCTGCGGCTCGGCAGCCCATGGCGCACCCTCGGGACGCGCAGGGGGAGGAGTGAGCGGCTGAGGCACACCTGCCGCCGCCACTGCTGCCTGAGCTGTCCCGGCCTGGCCAAAGCCTGAACCGCGCTGCGCTGCGCTGCTCGACGCTTATCTGTGTCCAACACTCTCTCTCACTCACTCACTCACACATGCGCACACAAACACAGACATGCACCACTCCCGCCTGACCCTGCCCGGTGGCTGCAGCACCTCGGTCGGACGCAAGCCCACCGGCCAGTTCTCGCAGCTGTTTGACAAGGACTTCAACCGCATCGGGCTGAGGAAGCCATGAAGGCACGCACCGGCAGGACACGAGCAGCGGCAGCAGCAGCAGCAGGGAAGCGGCATTGATGCAAGAGCGCGGCGGCGAGCGAGCATTGGCGACGGGGGCCGGGCGGGCACAACAAGTTTTGCCAGCAGCTGCGCGAATGGACTGGTTGTAAGAGTACACTGTTTGTTACTTTGTTACAGAACAGGTCGCAGCGGTGCAGATGCAACTGCAGCAACCAGCCAGTCCAGACGGCGATTGTGCAGAGAACCAAAGGCAGCAAGCCACCTCACTCCTGAATGCTCGCCCTGCAGCTGTCGCCGCCCTGCGCCCGCATCTGCTGCTGCACCAGCAGCTCCAGCCGCCGCTGGTGCGCGGCCAGCCGCTGCTCCAGCTGCTGCACGCTGCGCTGCTGCTGCTCCACCTCCTCCTGCACCGAGATCCGGCGGCGACGGCAGTGCCATTTCGCTGCCGGGGCGGGCGGCGGCCTCGACAGGCAGGCAGGCAGGCAGGCGCAAGCCCAGCAGCGGCAGCGCAACGGCGGTCCGGCCCGCCATGGCAGCCACACACCCCACCCGGGCCCCGCTCTCCCCAGCCCACCTGCTTGGCGTTGAGGGCTGCCACCAGCCCGCGCTTCTCCTGTTCCAAGGCATCCAGCAGGAGATAGATGGAGGAGGTGAGCTGGATCGCCGCCTCGCCACCTGGCGCCGCCGCCCCGCCACCGGGCCCTGCCGCCACCGCCGCCGCCTGCAGCGGCACGTAGAGCGCCGCAGGCAGCAGCGCTGCCAGCTCCGCTGGGAGGGCCCCACCTGCTGCTGCTGCTGCTGCTGCGAGGGCGCAGGTTCTGGAGCGCCGCCGCTGCCGTCGGCTTCTCGCCCTCCTGCTGCTGCAGCCTCTTCTAGCGCCTGCCGGGAGATGAGCGCAGAGGCAGGAGGCCCAGAGTGCGCCGCGGGCAAGGGCGTCCTGGGCGCGCTGGCTGCTGCCAGCGAGCCGCCTGCCGAGCTGCCAGCTGGCGGCTGCTCGGCCCCTGCTGCCGCCCCCGCCGCCTGCCCTGCCTGCAGCCGCTGCCGCAGCTCCGCCTGTTGCTGCAGCGCCAGCTGGAGCTCCGCCTCGAGCCGGGCCACCTCACCCGCGTGCCGCTGCCGCTCCTCGCGCCGCATCTCCTCCACATGCCGCCGCACCCGAGCCTCTATGTCGATCCCATCGACCCCCTCGCCCGCCGCCTGCTGCTGGCGGCCGCCTTCCCCGTCCGCCTCCGCCCCCGCTGCCGCCTGCTGCTGCTGCTGCTCCTGCTGCTGCGCGGCGCCGCCGCCGGCTGCCCCGGCCTGCTGCAGCTGCTGCTGCAGGCGCCTGGCTTGGTGCTTGGCCTCCGCGCTTTCCTCCCGCAGCCGATGCACCTCATCCAGCAGCGACCCCCGCTCCTTACTCACCGCCTCCAGCTGAGCCTGCACGCCCAGGCAGGGGCCGGGGGTCGGGGCGGCAGCAGGCCCGCAGTTGGCGCCAGCACGCAGGAGCAGCAGCAGGAGCGGTGGAATCGGCAGTACAAGGAGCCGGGGCAGCGATGCAAGCGAGCGGCGACGCATCTGCCACCAGAAGAAACGCTGCATGGGCTGCGGCAACGGCCGCAGCGGGGCGCAGCCAGGAGCAGCAGCGGGTTGCCTGCATGGCGCGCGCCACTTCGGACGCGCCGCTGGCCTGGCTGCGGTCCCGCAAGTGGCTGCTCTTCAGCTGCAGCACCTGCTCCTCCAGCAGTACCACCTCCGCCGCCAGCGACTGCAGGCCGCGCCCGGCAGTGGCGGTGGCATGGCGGGGGATGTTGGGGGGCAGGATTGGGACCAGAAAGAGCGCGGGAAGCAGGTGCCAGAGGGACGGAGGTCACATCCACACATACATACACACACACACACACTCACACACACACAGGCATGTACACGCCTGCACCACACACATGCACCACACACACATATGCACCACACGCGCACCTTGGACCGCTCCTGGATCTCCTGCGCTGACAGGCGGTACGCGTCCCGCTCCGCGTGCGCCGCATCCACCGCCGACTGCTGCCCCGCAAGCTGCTGCTGCAGCTCCCGCACCGTGCGCTGCAGCGCCTCCACCTCGCCGCCCTGCAGCGCGGCGCCAGCCGGCACGGGGGGGGAGTCAAGCTCGGTGATGGTGCCTCAGACCATCGGGGCGGATGAGCGAGGTGCAGGGAATGTACGGTACAGCAGTACCGACCCGGAAATACCTGCTCATTGTACCGCCTGGTGATGGCCTCATTCTCCTCCGCCAGGCTGTCGGCCACTTTCATCTGCTGCTCCACCGCCCGCTGCAGCACAGGGCAGGGCAGGCGGGAAGCCGGGCAGGCACCCCACGACACCAGGCGCACGTGATCAGCGCCGCCGCAGCGCCACCCATGGCCCGCCGTCCACCCCAGCAGCCTGCCACCGAAAGAAGCAGGCAGCCGGGCTGGCCCGCCCCACAGCCGCACCCGCCGCCGCTGGCGCCCTCCACCACCCCACCCACCACCTTGGCCATACTCTGCTCCCACCTGAAGCATAAACTTCTCCTCAGTCAGCTCATCGATGTGCTGCTGCAGGGCCTTGAACTCCTGAGCCCTGCAGGCAGGGCAGCACCAGAGCAGCAGCAGCATGGGGCCACGGCCAGCCCACGGCCAGCCAAACAGCCGGCCCAGCAGCAGCAGCGGGGCCGCGCCATGCCATGCGTCAGCGTGCACACACACGAGGGGAGGCAGCCGGCCGGCGCGGCGCTGTGCAGCGTTGCTGTGGAAGGTGCAGGGGCAGGGGGATGGCAGGCAGGAGGGGCAGGAGGCAGGGAGAGAGGTGGGGGTGGCTTGCCTGGACTGGCCAGTGCCAAACTTGCTGGTGCTGGCGCTGGGTGGCAGGCCGCCGCCGCCGCCCAGGAACAGGGAGGAGGTGTGGGAGGCATGGGAGGCGGCGTCGCTGCCCTGGCGCGACAGCAGCGGCGTGGCGCCGCCGCCGCCGCCGGCCGCCGCGCTGCTGGTGCTGGGAGCTGCCTCTGCTCCTCCTCCTGCTGCCGCTGCTACTGCTGCTGGCGCCGGGACGCCATTGGCGGCCGCGGCTGCGCCTGCTGCTGCCTCGGGCGCTTCCCTAGAGCTGCCGCTTGGAGGGGCGGCCACGCCGTTGGGCGCTACCGACGGCCCCTCCCTCGCGCCAGCAGCTGCATGCTCCCAGTAGCTGCTGCCGCTGAGGCTGGGGCTGTGCCTGGCTGCTGCACCGAGCTCCGCTGCCTGTGCCTCGCTGCCGCCGCTCCCGCTTTCCTGCTGCTGCTGCTGCTGGGGCACGGCTGTCACCGATGCAGGTGCTGCTGCCGGCTGCTGCTGCTCTTTGCTGGGGGAGGCGTAGGCATCAGCCAGCATGGCATAACCAGACGCCCAGCTGCCGGTGGCTGCAGGCGGCGCTGCCGGTGCAGCCGGTGTCACCAACGGCGCCTGCTCGACTGGCGCAGAGGAGAGCCAGCTGGGCCTGCTGCTGCCCAGGCTGCCGCCGCTGCTGCCAGCAGCGGAGCCAAAGAACGAGCCAAACAGACCACCTCGGCTGCTGCTGCCACCAAATGCGCCTCCTGCCGGCGCTGCTGGCTGGCTGGCGGGGCTGGCGTCCCTTGCAGAGTGCTGCTGCGGCTGCGCTGCCGCGGCAGTGTCAGACGCCAGTGCAGCTGCTGGTGCCTCTGCTGGCGCCTCTGCTGCTGCTGGCGTGGGCCCAGCGTCGGGGGCTGGCGGCGGCGAGCTGCTACGTGGCGGCTGCCAGCTGTAAGTCGGCATGGGCGGCGGCAGCCGAGACTGGTAGCCTCCCACACCAAAGCCGCTGTTGCTGCTGCTGGCATGCTGCCCACCTGCGGGCTCAGCGGGCTCAGCGGGCGGCCTGCTGCTAGCGGACGCGACGGCTGTCGATGATGCAGCTGGCTGCTGTGCGGCAGCGGGCGCCGGCGGCTGCGACCCAGGCAACGGCCGCTCCTGGTGTGCTGCCTCGGGCACACTGCTGCTGGCTGCAGGCGCCGCTGCAGAGAGCACCGGTGCCCCGAAAGTTGGTGCTGCAGCAGCGGCGGCAGGTGGCGGCAACGGCGGCGTGCCATTGGTCTGCTGCGGCGCGGCTGCCCCGGCTGCCTTGCCAGCCGCCTTCTGCCTTCGATACTCCTCGAGCTGCAGCAGGAACACGTCCAGCGATCATCCACCTTGACAACTTTGGGCTCCCCTGACTGCCGATGCAGCAATTTTGGCACCCCCTGCTCACCTTGCGCCTGCCAGCAGCCGCCAGCTCTGCCTTGGTGAACGTGGGAGCTGTCATGGTGCTGGCTGTCGGGTCAGGGGGGCGGCATGCTGGGAAGCGATCTGGACTGATGGTCTGCAGAAATGACAGCCTGCACAAGCCAACGGGTGCCCGGGCGTCAAATCCAGGGCGTGGTTTCCACCAGCTCCTTGCCGCCTTGGCTCCTGCGCCCCTCCAGGTACGCTTGATCGTCATGTCTTGGTTGAGGCTGCTGCACAGGATTTGCCGCGCCATGCTGTCCAGACTGCAGTTGCTGCTGGGGGTGAGTACGAGGCTGCGGGGAGCCCTGCGCGCTGCTGCTGCCCGTCTCAAGCAAGCTGCGATGCACCCCATGCATTTGCAGGCCACCAGCGGCACCACCCTGGCCTTGACGGGCATTCTGGGCCTGGCAGCCGTGGTGTATGCGCTTTACCAGCTACGGGGCGGCCCAGGTGTGCTGCGATGAGGGGCACGCAGGGTGCAGGGCAGGCTGAGTCGCGGGGTGCACGCCTCGTCTGCGGGGCCGCCCACCGCCGCCTGGTGTCGGCAGCCCTCCCTCCTCGGTCAGCCGAATGTGCTCTTTTTCGCGCTGCAGGCCGCAAGCCGGATGAGCAGGGTGCCCAGCAGCAGCAGCAGCCATACGACCCCACCAAGCCCTCCACCTCCTCGGCAGCTGGGGCGGCGGCCGCCGCCGCCGCCTCCGCCACGCCCTCGGCGGCCGTGGCGCGGCGGCTGGCGGGCGTGCAGCGGGCGACCATGTCTGTGCCAGGGGTGCTGCTGGAGGAGAGCAGCCCCGGAGAGCTGGAGGAGAGCGCATGCGTGCGCGCAGACGCCGTGGGTGCGTCTCTCCCACCCCTGCCCGCATGCCGGCGTGGTGGTGTGGCTGCCTGCCTGCACCCCTGCCCCTGCCTTCCCGCCCGCCCGACGTCAGCCCTCGCCCGCGCCAGGCAAAGCTGCGCTGGCTGCTGCCAGGGCCATCTCCCACGCCGCCGCCGCTGATGCCGCTTGTGCCTGCGCGTGCGTGCCGCCGCTGCGGTGCAGCGCTGGCCAGGGAAGTGGCGCGCTGCTGCTCCGCGGGCCTCTACCTCATGTGCCAGGTGGCCGACGATGTGGGCGAGGCGGTGGTGCGCGGCGCGCTGGAGCACGCCGGCCTGCTGGGCACCGCGCCCGGGCAGGTGCCGCCGCACAGGTGCGTGGGCCGCGCGCCCGTGGCCGCCTCCAGCACGCCGGCCCAGCGTTTGTTGCTTGGGGATCGTTTGGGGAGGTGGAGCAGCGGGCCCTGGTTGCCTGCTGCTCTGTGCCGCGCATGCATCGCTGCCTGCCGCGTGTGGGCCCTCCCTCGGGCCCTGCCTCCGCCTTTGGCCACCTCGCGCCAAGCTGGTGGCAAACTGTTCTCCACCTGCCGCCATGCCTGGCGCCCGCAGGCTGCTGTTCTGCAGCACGCTGGAGGGCAAGGCCTCGTTTGTGCGGCAGCTGGAGCCGGAACTGCATGTGGACGCACACCCGCGCACCGTCTCCGACCTGCAGCGCTTTGTGAAGCAGCTGGTGCTGGTGGCGCCGCCGGGGCAGCAGGCGGCGCTGCCCGCCGGCGGCAGCGGCGGCGGCGGCGCGGCGGCGGCCAACGTGCAGCACGCGCCCTCGCTGGCGGCGGCCCTCGGCGTCCTCCCGGCCTGAGCTGCGGCGGAGGGGCGTCCCCTGCCTCTGTTTCTGCTGCCATTCTCTGCTGTTGTAACGTCTCTTGGGTCCATGTGAGATCCAGTCGAAAGGTCTTCATCATCTGATCTCAGATGGGCACCGCGCACCGGGCGCCTTGGGGAAGACGGCCAGCCAGCGGGGGCGGGGGTTGCCCAATCGGGAGGGTGCCACATCAGGGGGCAACACATGCCACACCACTGAGATGAGAATGCACAGCGTCGTCTCGCAGGTTGGTTGAATACTGACGAGCCGACCAAATGAGTGCATGAACAGGGTGGAATGGAGTGGAAAGCTAATATTTGCAAAAAGAAACCCTAGTAGTGTAGTGTGCGCTTGCATGGCTTCCGTAGATATTTAGGGCCCTGCAGGAGAGTGGACGGAATTGGCGCGAGTGCAGGATGAGGCGGGAGCGCTCGCTGGGAGGGAAGCAAGTAAGTGGGAACGCCCACAGGTACTCGCGCGCCTGAAGGTGCTGAAGCTACATGATGCATGCGCTGGTCCAGGGGCACTGGCACGGAGCAAGCGGGGGGGAGGGGGGTAGGTTGGCGCGGTGCCACCGCCGCCGCGCTTGCGCACCCGGCCCTTCGAGCTCGTGCGAATGCCTTGCTCACGGCTCTCATCTGCATGTCCTGTTGCAGGAACAGACGAAGAATCGGAACAACACTCCCAATGCAGCACCAGGCAGGGCTGAGGGAGCACCAAGCAGCACACCAGCTCCGGTGGCGCACCAGCATGCCAACGGTGCTCCGGCCAGCCCTGGTACAAAGACGCCCACAGCTATGCGACGCCCTACAGGGCAGAAGAGACGTCGTGATGAACAGAGCGACATCGGAGACGAAGTTCACGAAGGCGGCAGCAACATGGGCGGCAGCGCCAGTGGCGGCGGCCAGGATGGGGCCAATGCTGGCAGCGAGCAGCATGGCTCATCCCCGCTGGCTTCTGCCACAGCCTGCGAGTTTCGTGCGGGCGACGTTGTTGAGCATATCGTAGATGAGAAAATCGTGAAAATACGGCACATATCAACTAGCAGAAGGACAGCCACCGTCAGATACAATGGCGGCGCGACGGAGTGTGTGCCAGTGGAGGAGCTGCGACGATTGCCGCCAGCGGCGCTGCAGCCAGCAACTGTGCCACAGAGGAAGAAGCGGAAGGTGGAGGACGCGCTTGAGAAGGCCAAGAACCTCTTTCGTAGAGGGAGGTCTTAGGGCTCGGGAGCCTGCGCCCCCTCACTCCGTTTTCCCACACATCCCTGGGCGGAAGGCCCAACACTTGCCATTGCTTCTGTCTGCCGCCTGTCCGCTAGTATCCTTGCCCACTGTTTCTAAACTTGAATTCATCCTCATTAATTCATCCTCATTGATTCATCTCGGAGGCTGCAGAACCCATGTCTGCACAGTGGCAGGTCACATCCAAGACTGGCAGCTGGGGGTGCAAGCAGCAGCTGGAGGAAAGCATTGGACAAGAAAGCAGGACACTCGACAGGTCACCATGTCTCCGTCTACAGAGTTTGTTTGCCGGGCAGCAGCCATGGCAAGCCCCGGTGAAGCCAGCGGGCAGGGAGAAGGCCTGCCCCTGCTTCAGGCCGTGGCGCGCCGCGACCTGCCAGCCCTGGTGCAGCTGCTGCGTGCCCCAGCCCCCGCACCGGGGCACGAGGGCATGACTGCTCTGCACGTGGCAGTGCTCGTGGACTGTGCCGAGGCAGTGCCGCTGCTGCTGGCGGCGGGTGAGCAACGCTGCTGCCGCTCAACCCACCCGCCCCCACATGCCTGCTGCTGATATGCATCGCCGCCTGTCAACACACCCGCATGTGCCCCGTATTTCGATGCAGGCGCCGACGTGGAAGCCCCGCTGCAACTTGGATGGCAGACCGAGGAGGCGTGGGCGCCGCGGCTTGGGCTAGCTGCGAGCTGCAGCCCCCTCTTCGGCTTTCACGCATCCATGGTGTACCTGAATCACACGCCGCTGTGCCTGGCTGTGCTCCAGGGCAGCCTGCGCACGGCGCAGCGCCTGCTGGCGGCAGGGGCCCAGCTGCAAGCCCGCAGCGGCTTCAGCAACCACGGAAACGGCACATTCCAAATGCTTTGCGAGCTGCAGCAGCAGCCCCAGGTGCTGCGGGCGATGGCAGCGCTGCTGCTGAGCAGGGGCCTGCCCGGCGAGGCCCTTCTGCGCCCCGCCCACCGCTATGCCATCAAGCTGGCCTATCCCGCAGCCGGCAGCGCCACGCCTCCGCAGCCCTGGATGCTGCGGCGCCTGCTGGAACTGCACACGGAGCAGGGAGCTGCGGGGGCGGAAGCGCAGGTGGCAGGCGCGACGGGCGCGCTGGATGCGGCCTTTGCAAACCTGGACATGGCGGCGTTCGAGGCATGGCTGGGGGTGCCAGCGCTGCGGGGCAACGGCCTTCTGCAGCAGCTTGTGGCGGCCAGCGACTGCCTGCTGTTCTGGGTTGAGGGTGAGTCAACCGAGTGCGCGGAGTCGGCGGCGCTGCTGCTGCTGGGCAGGGCGGCCACGCGGCAGGCGCTGCGCGGAGCGGGGGCGTTCGTGCACGATGTCCTGCTGGCGGCAGCGGCGTGCGCTGGGAGGGCCAGGGTGCTGGAGCGGCTGTTGGAGGCGGGGGCGGTCATCAGTGCCGGCACATTCAGCCGTGCCAGCCCTGCAAGCGTACGCGGGGACGCAGTCCACATCCTTTTTGAAGGTGCGCATGCTGTGATGGGTCTGCTCGGCGGCAAGGCTTGCTGGCAACCCTGCACGACGGTGCCGACGGTGCCGCCTGTTTGCAGCCTGGCTTTGCAGCCATGTTTGCAGGTCCCTCTGAAGAAACTGAAGGCATGGGGGGAGGCAACTGGGACCACGTCTTCCCTTTCTTCAGAGGGAATGCCCAGGGGATGCCGCACCCGCACCTGGGCACCAGGCTGCTGGCGGTGGCGCAGGCGGGTGCCTGGAGCAAGGCGCTGCACCCCCACTTTCCACCCGACTTCAAGGCCGCCGTCCGCACGCTGCTGCTGGCAGCCCACTGCGGCGGGCGCGCGGTGGCAGCTGCTGTCGCGGCAGGAGGTGGCGGCCGGCGCATGGGCACACGCAGGCGGGCACGCCTGGCATCCTCTGCGGCCACCACTGGGGCCGCCTACCTGGGCAGGCTGGAGCCAGAGGTGGAACTGAAGATTGCGGCGCAGGCCGCCTTCCCGCTGTCAGCCTGGGACTGGCGCCGCTGCGAGGAACGGGAGGGGCCCTGCGGTCAGCATGGAAGGACTGTGGCTGGATGAGGAGAAGCAAGCCAGAGGGAGCCGAGCAGGCACCATTCAGGCCTGCCCTCGCATGCTTTGCTGCCTAGCAACTGTCGGACTTTGCTTCTTTCTTTGTCACGTTGTCCTTACAGATCTTGTGGGGGTGCCAGGCACAAAACATATCAGTACGGTTCGACCATCAGTAAACTGCATTTTTCAGTGCGACGGTTGCGACGGCAATGCACCCTCACGCAGCCAGCCGCGTGAGGACCGAGGGGGGCATACTGCCGGGCAGGCATGGAGGCGGGGAACAAGGCGTCTGGTGAGCAAGCAAGGTGGAACGCAGGCGCCGCGGCGGCGCACAGGGAGCACGCGGGCGGGCCTCTGCACGGTAGGGGCACTGCCGGCGCTGGGCTGGGCCGCTCCGGCTGCAGCAGCGCTGCGAGGCGGGCTGAGCGGGTGCGCTGAGCGGGCGCTGGGCTGCATGGGCTGCACGGGCTGCGCTCTCGGGGTCGTGGGGTGTGGCTGGAGGCTACTTCATCTCTGCCGCATGCTCCGCTGCCAGCTCCTCCATAAGCCTCATCTCCTCCAGGTCCAGGACTGCATGTGGTGGCGGGGGCAGGGCGGCAGGCCCAGGGGAATGGGAGAGGGTGGTACAGGCGAGGAGGGCGGGAACGCCAGACACGCTGGGCCGCAGGCACAGCAGCACATGCTCGGCTGTCCCCGTGAAGGAAGGATCAAGCCGGTTGAAACACAGGTCCAGGAAGCAGAGGGAGCAGGAGGAAGCAGCGGGCGGCGGCGGCCAACAGCCGCCGCAGCAGCAGGCACGGCAAGGCCCCAAGGCAGCAGGCGCAGCAGGCGCCAGCCCGCTCACTGGCTCCCGACTTGACACCCTCCATCACCGGCCCCAGGTCGGCCGCCGTGTCGTGCGGCGGCGACACCGACGGCAGCAGCTGCGCCTTGCTGCTGCGCATGCGGGTCATGGTCTGCATGGAGGGGAGGGTGCAGCGGGAAGAGGGAAGCCGGTGGTGGGGTTGGTGGGCGCAGGCAGAAGACTGTGCTGGGTGGCGCGCAAAGGATACGAGACACGGGCAGGTGGCCATGGCACAGGAGGTCCTCAGGGCACACACACGCGCGCTCACGCGCACATACGCGCAGGGCCAGGGACAGCCGACCTCACGGCACTGACCCTCCCTAAGCACACCACACGCACCAAGACCTGAAGCAGAAAAAACACAGGACACCCCACCCCGCCCCACCCCACAGCACGGCACGGCACGGCACGGCGCAGCACAGCACAGCACAGCACAGCACAGCACAGCACAGCACAGCACAGCACAGCGCCCACCTTGAGCAGCTCCTGCTTGCCGCTCTCCTTGGACTTGCACCACGGGTGCGCCAGCACACCATCCAGCGTCAGCCGCTGCGCCGGGTCAACGAGCAGCAGCTGGCGGATCATGTCCTTTGCCTCCCCGCTCACAGCGCCCCACACGTCGTCGTTGAAGTCAAACCGACCCTTCCTGCGCGCGGGCGGGAGCAGGGAGAGGTGCGGGGGTGGTGGTGGTGGGGTGGATAAGCGCGCGCTTGTGTGGGGCGCGTGTGACGATTGTGTGGTGGTGGCATCGTAAGTGTGCGGCGGCCATGCGTGTGTGGATGCGGCGGGTAGGGTGCCAGGGGCCCAAGAGCAGACTAGCACGCTGGTGCCGGCCCCGCCGCTGGACACCCGCCTCCGCTCCGCTCCGTTCCGAGCTGCGCCCGCCCCACCTCCCCACCTGATCTTCTCAAACAGCTTGGGTTCCGACTCGTCGTAGAAGGGAGGGTAGCCGCCCAGCAGGATAAAGAGGATCACGCCCGCGCTCCACAGGTCGCACTCGGGGCCGTCTGCGGCGGGGGCAAGGCAAGCACCAGCGGCGGCGGCCACGGCAAGGCGTGTTGGTAGGGAGGAACGTGCGGCCGTGAGCGACTCGAGGCGGTGGCAGGCACCAGGGTCCTGCGGGGCCTCCCGCCCTGCCACGCTCAGCCCACGCAGGCACACTCAGCACATGCCGCCATGGTCGCTGCAAAGCAGTACAACCCAAGGCATTGCGGGTCAGAGCAGGTGCCACAGGGACGGCTCGTACACAGACTCACAGCGTGCGGGGCCGCCCTGCAGGGGGGTAAGTGACAGCAGGGCAGGGCGCAGAACAGTAGCTGGTAAGAGCGCCGCACATCACACGGACAGCGCACCACGCGCCAGCCTGCCGGCCAGGCGTGCACCCAGTAAAGGCCTGGGCGCGGCGCGGCGCCGTGCTTGCCTTGATGATTTCTGGCGCGACGTACTGCGGCGTACCGCAGATGGTGGTGAGTGCGCCGGGGCCGCCGTACCGCCGCGCCAGCCCAAAGTCTGCGGGGCAGGTGGGCGGGCCAGGGCGCGGTGGGCGGGCCGGTGCGAGCACAGTCCAGGCAGGCGGGCAACTGCTGCCTGCCAGCCGGTGTGGTTGGTGAGCACCACCGCCATCTCCCTGCCTCCAGGCACTTTCCTCGCGGCGTCCAAGCCCAGCGCCAGCACAGCCTCACCGGCAATCTTGATGCGCGTGATGTCCCTCTTGTCCACCAGCAGCAGGTTCTCCAGCTTCAGGTCGCGGTGCACGATGCCCCTGCGCCCACGCACCCACGTGGCAGGCAAGCGGGCGGGTTGGCTGGGCGGTGGCGGCGTGCAGGGTGAAGGCCGCGGGCGGCTGCGGTGCTGGAGGTGGTGGGTGACACGTGTGCGCGTGTGGTGGTGGACAACCACACCACCACAAGTGAGCCGGGCTGGCTGCAACGCCACACACCGGCCCCACGCGCAGTAAGTGCGGAACGCGCCGGCCCCGGCACAGCTGAGCAGGCCGCACGTCCGAGGCCCTGCACTGCACACCACCCCGCCCGCCCACCTGCTGTGCAGGTACTGGATGGCCTTGATGATTTGCAGGAAGATGGAGCGGGCGTCGGCCTCGCTGTAGTGGCCCTGCACGCGCAGAGGGGCGCGGCCAGGTCAGCGACGCCAGGTCAGCGCGGGCCGACCGCCAGCGGGGCATTCCCCACCGGCCTTGCACCGCCTAGCTGCCGCCCAGCGCGGCACGCGCAGCAGCCCCATGGTCACAGCAACACGCAGCGGCCCAGCCAGCCTGCTGCTCGAGCACGCGCCAGCAGCAAACGCCGACAGGCAGCAGCAGCAAGCGCCGACAGGGCAGCAGACCTTCCCACCACCCGCCCACCTTCTCCAGCACCGCGTCCAGCAGCTCCCCTCCCTGCAGCATCTCCATGATGAGGTACACCTTGTTGCCCTCCTCAAAGTACTCTGCGGTACGGGGCGGTATAGAGGCAGGCACAGGCGGCGGTGCTCTGCACCACGCGGCAGGGCAGCCAGGGGCGCGCCCGGCACCAGCCCTCGCCGACCCCCTGACGATTCACACATCCGCTGCGGGCCCTGCCCCATGTTGCTCTTCTCACCGCTGCCCCTCCCCAGGCCAGGCAGGCCCCTGGCCAGCCCCATCCCCACCCGCCCGGCGGCCCCACCCTTCATGAACACGATGTTGTCGTGCTTGAGGGCGATAAGGATGTCGATTTCCTTGAAGATGTCGGCGCGGGACGACTCGTTCTCGTTGTAGTGCTTGCCCGGCGGCGGCAGGCTCATGATCTTGCATGCCCACTGCTCCCCAGACCCCTTCTCGGTGGCCAGCTTGACCACGGAGAAGCCTGGGAGGGAGGGGAGGAGGGTGTAGCGGGGGAGAGCGGCGTGTGGAGGGTGAGCAGGTGGAGGGACGTGGGCGGCAGCGAGCGTGCGCGTGAGCGGCGCGGCGTGGCGCAGGCTCACCGCCGGTGCCGATGGTCTTGCCAATCTTGTACACCTCCCGCACGCTCACGCCCTTGCGCATCTTGTGCTCCGTGCTGCGGCAGGGCAGCAGGTGCGAGCGCCGGGCGTGAAGTGCGGCGGCGGCGCTGGCGACCACGGCAGCGTCTGCACCAGGAGCCGTGCAGCCCTGCGCATCTAGCCTCTGCTGTGGCCACCCGGCTGCACCCAACACGCTCGCTGCAGAAGCAGCAGCAGGAGCGCCAAAGTGTCCGGTGGCGGCAGCGCACAACGGCGGCCGCTGACTTGCAACTCACTTTGGAATCTCCGCCGGCTGCGCCGACCGGCCATACTTGTCGGGCTTCTCCGAGCTGGCCTCGGTCGTCCTGCTGGGCGCGTCTGAACTACACAGGTTGCCCATGGACCTCACAAGCCGGTGGCGCACGATCTGCGGCGGTCGAGCGTGATCCGATGCAGATGGTTTGCAGGCTGGAGATGCTGGTGCGGTGGCAGCTGCAACAGCCACACAGCTATGGGCAGTGCGGCAAGGGCGGGCACCGCCCCAGCACCTGGGGTTTGTGGGTCGCTGCGTGGCTCTGTGTCTGTCCTCTTACAGCTTGTCTTGTCCTTGCGCGCTGCGCCTGAATGGGAGTGGCTCCGAGAGGAGAGCGGCTGGCCTGCAAGCAGCAACGCTGTTCACCTGGTCGCTGAAATAAAACGTCACAGAGAACGCAGCAGACGGGGGCCAGCGCAGCGCGATGGGGCTTGCTGCGGCAACAACAGGTGGCGCGCCACCTCATCGCCGCCATACGCCGCCCACATGCCGCCCTCCCCTGCTCTAGTGATGCTGCGGCTAGCGTGCCACCTGTACAGTAGTAACAGGTGGAGCAGCGGAGCGAAGGGCGAGCTCAGGGCAGCAGGTGCAGCTTGAAGGCCAGCGCCAGGTGGTCTGACGGGAAGCGGTCATCGGGTATGGGCGGCATGTCGGGCACGTCCTCGGGGTCGTTGACCGCGGAGGGCTGGCCAGGGGGCGCCGGGTCCCAGCGGTAGGGCAGCTGCAGCGCTGCAGACACGGCCCAGTGGCCCTCGCTGAGCCACACGTAGTCCAGGCACCCCGCAAAGCCGTCGGTCTTGGTGGTCAGCGGCGGCTCGCGGCCCCAGGCCGCCACCGCCGCACTGCGCAGGGACAGCGGGTCGCTGGACAGGCGCGCGCGGGCGAGGTCGCGCGCAGCGGCGCACGAGCCGGCCAGCGAGCGGCGGGACGGGTGGTCCTGGTGGCTGCTGTCGATGCCCGCCTTGCTGCTCAGCACGGTGTAGGCGCCGCTGACCAGGGTCTGGCTGGGAGGCACTGCAGGCCGGGGCGGTGTGCGAGTGGGGCTTGCAAGGCACCCAGGTTGACAGCCACCCCTGGATCCACACACGGCCAGCCGTGCCCTAATCCCACACGGCCAACCGCATGCCTTGCCACGGCCACCCAGCCACCCAGCCACCCGCACAGCCTCCCACCCACCGGCGTCAAACGGGTCGGAGCGGCGCTTGAAGGGCAGGCTGTTGAAGTCGCCGCACAGGATGGCGGGTACAGCGGCGGCGGCCTTGTCGCCGAGCAGGCGCTGCTGCTGCAGGAAGGCGCCTGCGGCGCGGCACACCAGCTGGGCCTGTGCCGCCTTGACGTCCGGGAAGCGGGGGTCCCAGAACAGGTGGGTGCAGCCCGCCAGCAGCGTGCGCTGGGTACGCACATCCCGCAGCAGCGCCAGCACCACCCCGTCCTCGCGCTGCCGCACATAGTCGTGAAACTTGCCATGCAGGCTGGCCCCCACGCACTCCCCGAGCTTGACAACCTGCAGCGGCCGGGCGCCGCGGGGGCAGGCGGCGCCAGGCAGCCACATCGGCGCTGAGTTCGAAAGTACCGGAAAGCAGATGGGCGGGCAGCCGCCTGCCAGCGCGTGAGGACCACCGAAATCACATGGCGGCGCAGGGGCCACGGTGCGGTCCTCGTGTCAAATGCCCCATGCAAGGCGGGATCGTTGGCTGTGCGGCGCTTGCGGCATGGCAGCTGTCGCGCACCTTGCTGGCCTGCCGCTGCAGCCGGGCCGTGCGGTACAGCAGGCTGATGCCGTCCTCTGGCATGGTGGGCGGGTCAAAGGGCCTGCGTGGTGGGACAGGCACCCATGAGTGTGCAAGGGATGTGATCCAGCCAGCACAGGATGCTGCCGTGACGAAGCAAGCGCTGCTGCCCTTGATGGCTGCCCCGCACTCCGCACCACCAACCCAGCCTAACCACCTCCACCTCCGGGCCCAGCCACCTGCGCTTGCGGGCGTAGTAGAGCGCCTCGAAGCCGTGCTGGCGCATCAGCGGCTCAAACTCCTCCTCAAACCACCCACGCTCCACCTGCGGCACCAGGCAGCTCGCAGGGGGCGGTGTGTGGTATGCAGCGGCGGCGGTTGCGGGCGCTGGTCAATGCGCCATCGCAGCAGGCCCTCCACCGGGTGATATGACCAGCAGCAAGCAGCAGCGCCTCCCCACCGCCTATCTCCATCTGCTCCCTACAACACTTGCCTCTTGCAGGCACAGGATGTCTGGCTGCAGCCCCAGCAGCTCCTGTATGATGCGCTGCTTGCGGTAGGGCCAGGCCAGGAACTGGGGCGGGCAGTACTTGTGCATGCCGCCCGTGGCATACTTGTCGGCCAGGATGTTCTGGGAAGAAGGGAGGAGCAGCAGAACACACAGGGTCAGTGACCAGCCGCATCAGCAGCGGCAGGAGAGCGGCAGAGCAGCGGAGCGGCACTGCGAGGGTGGGTTGATACCGCCGACGGAGAGTGCAGGCTGGAAGTTCACTGCTGCTGTCCCAGCGCCTGAGGCATAGACAGGCACATTGCCGAGTACATTCATCGGCAAGCAATCCACTGAGTCCACGTGGTGCTGACCCTCAGGCATGCATGTGTTGCCCCCTGATGTGGCACCCTCCCGATTGGGCAACCCCCGCCCCCGCTCCCTCCTGGCAGCCCGCGCGGCGCTCCCCTCCCATACGTGAACTGACCCCATATAGCCCTGTTTGAGGGTTGAGCGGGGCGGAGCGGGGCTGCTTGCACACGTGATGGCATGCACGCTTCAACGCTCCCGCTGTCATCTCACCTCTCTAGCGTCAGAAATACAACTCTTACAAGCCAACCAACACGAACAGAGAGACCGAACAACAGAAATGAACAGGAAATATGAAGCCGCCACAGGCGGCAGCACCTTCCAGCGGAGACGGCAAAGCGTACAAGGCACACTTTTTCAATGGTTCTTGCAATTGCCACCCTTACCGGTTATACAGCCACAGTGCCGCCCACACCGCGCACCATTCTTCTTGCAGCTGCAGTTCCGGGTGCAGGCGCCGCGGCAGCCGCAGCGCACGGCTGCCTTGCCGCCGCCGGGCTGCGCCGCCATCGCCACATTGAGAGACACCACAGGCACTCCTCGCTGCGCCGTGCCGCTGAAGGTCAGCTCGCTGGCCAGGCTGGGTGGCGCCTTAGATAGCCTGCTGGCCTGATGCATACCCTCCACCACTCCAGCTCCGCTCCGCAGCCGGTACATGGTCACGCCAAAGGGCCGCTTGATCTCCACCACGCGG